TCGTATTGATCGTTTTGTACATTATCCTAGATACAATAGCATATATTATATTACGGGTAAGACTCAGAAAACGTATATAATAAATTATATAATAAAAAAAAAAAAAATGACAAAAAAAAACATCAAAGAAAGACTGACTATATATCAACGAATTTTTTTTTTTTTTTCTTTTTTTCAAATTAAGAAATAATTATTATACGAATAATATAATATAAAACGTAAGAGAAAAATTATATGTAAAAAAAAAAAAAAACAAACAAACAAACAAACAAATTATTATTTGTTGACAAAATGCAATACAATATAAGTACTTACTTTATTTATATCATTTACTCTCAAGATTTTCTTACTTTCTTTCTTTCTGTCTGTCTGTCTCCATTTCGATTTTAATCTCGAAAATTATCTTACAATTATTATTTATATAGTTTATCAACCCTTTGTCCTATTTGCTAATTTTCAATTATTCCAATGACAATAAACTTAAGAATTATTATTATTATTAATATTAGATTTTTCATTGTTACATTGACATTTGATGAATTCTTTTTCAAAAAATTATCAACTCAAACTTGTGTGTGCAATTTGACAAATAATTATACATAATTAAATTATTTAAATAGTCTCAATTATTATAATAATTATTTAAATTATTTAAATATTATTAATTATTATATAATTAAGAAAATATCGAGAACAATTGAAATAAGTGTAGTCAAACACAGGTTTTTATTGTTTTTAGTTAAAATTTCACGTGTCTGACTTATTATAGGACAAAAGGGTTGACTTTTGCCTTATATAAGTATATTAAATATTAATAATAATCGATGATATTTACAATCTCTCTGTAAAAATATGAAATTTCATTTTGTTTTTGTTGTTGTTGTTGTCTAAATTACAATAATTCAGCATAAAATCACTTAATACACATTCGTTCTTAAACATAACTATTAATAAATTAAAATTAATTTTGTATTTATGTATAATAATAATAATAATATTATTATTAATAATAATAATAATAATATCAATATCGGAAATTAGGATTGTCAGTCTGCCAACCTTTCGCGTTAGGACCAAACTGATAAACCAATCTTCTACCAAGCACTGGTTGAAATATTTTACTTTTATAATAGTATCTGAAAAAAACCAAAAAAAAACAGAAAACCATAAAGTTGAATTTTTATGATTTAAAACGAGACATTTTTTTCATTTCTTTTTCGCATTAAAAACAAATAACAAAAAAAAAAAAAAAAAAATAAAAAAAAAAAGAAAAGCATGTAAAGTGTAAAGGAAAAAGCCAAAAAGAAAAATTGAAATAAGAAAATGAAATAATAAAAACCTCATAGCACGGC